CGACTGAGCGCAGATTAAAAAAAAATATATATATATACACATACCTGATGAGTTAGACTGCAATATTTTTTGGAAGCAAGTCCTACTATGTTCAGTGAAGTTTGTTCCTTAGTTAGCACATGCTGCCTAATTGTATATGCAGATCAGCAAAAGAATAATTTGGTTTTGAAAGAATGAGGCCAGGACAATCTATCCAATAAAGAGCTTTTGATTAAATTATTTCCTTTGCCTTGATTAAATGAGTGTAATTGATTAAATTTACATTCACATTATATTAAATTCTCAATATTATTGCTTTTTCAAGGTATTAAGAAAAAAACTGACACTCAGTTTATCCTCTCCTTCATTTCCTTCCTCAACAGCAGACCCATTTCAGCCTTAACCCACTAAAATCTGCCATGTTCAACTATAAAGGATCACATAGAGAACAACACTGATTTATTCTACATGTTAAGAGAGTTGACCATCTTTCCAGCTGTGCATAGCTAGCTAATTCTGATCTTGGATCCAACCACCAATACACAAAACAAATTAAGAAAGTGTCCTCTGTCCACACTGGATGTAAAGAAAATAGCTGTAGATCCAGCCAAAGTTCAGAGGAGACTAAAGGTTTTTTTAGGTGCTATATATATATTATCTTATTTTCCCCTTCTCCTGTCATATTGTTTGCAGATGGGATTTTTCCAGTTTCTCAGGTACATTCTTTCTCCTGAGTAGAACCTCATAATCATGCTGCATATACATTAGAAGGGTAGCACAGAGATGTATATAAATACATACAGAGATTTCTAGCAGCCAGCTGCAGTGGTTCTGAGATTTCTACCATCTACTCATTCTCTGAGGAGCTATGGGACAATGGAAGAAAAGCAGGGAGATCAAAGGGCTCATAATTATGTCAAAGAGGTTACTGAGGGAGAGAACAATAAGATTTCTTCTAAAAAAGCCTCCCTGAAGCTCTGTTGCTCCTCTGGAAGTTCCTCAGGGCTTTGAGTAGAAATATAGTTGATGCAAAAATCTCTTTTTCTTTATCAGAGAAGGTTTCTGTCTCCAGAAGTTGAATTAGGATGGAGATTGCCAAGTTCCTTCTGCATTTTGTTTCCTGTACGGCATTCACCATCATCTGTCCTCAACATTTGATCATAGCTAATGATCAGTCTACTAGCTATAAGACAACCTGTTTTGGGTACTTGCAGGTGGCTTAGTGTATTGACCTGACAACTAGCGGCACATCACCGTAGCAAATTCTAGCCCACTCAAACAATGGTCATGGGATGATGTAGGGAAGTCTGATCAGCCTTGACAACCAGTTAAAACTGTACATCTGACATCATGTCTGAATGGAATAATTAACTCTGCCTGCCCCTTACCTCTTGGACACAATTTAAGGTGCTGGTATTGACTTCAGTCCCTAAAAGGTTTAGGGCCTGACTGTCTGAGGGACCACCTCTTCCAATATGAACCTATTTGGTTACTTAGATCAGCAGAGGAGACCCTTCCTAAAAACGTTCCTGCAGCTAGAAGCTCATTTATAGATGACACAGGAAACAGCTTGCTTCTGTGCGGCTCCCAGGCTCCCAAGCTTTCAACCTGGACTTGATTTTAATGACACTGATTTTAATTTTGATTGTACTGACATTATTATCTTTTGTATTTTGTATCTTGGCTTCATTGTAAGCTTCCCTGAGTGGTTATTTTATGGTTAACCATAAAATCGGGGTATGTTTAATAATCACTTAAAATGGAGCAAATAGCCAAGAGAAACCACCCAAATTGTTCTTTTCAAACTACTGCACCTAGAGGACAACAATAAAGGATAGGTGGGACAGACACCAGAAATTCATACTTCATTTCTTCCTAACAGCAATAATGATATAATCTGGATTCCTAGGAGATTTGCTGTGTCAGGTACCTTATTCTTGTGAACTGAACCATGCAGATTTGAATTTAGTAGTCTCTCCTGTTGTGACTTTCCCAGCCACTGTACAGGCAAGGCAGTTTCCTGCAAACATCTGCTCTACCCGAATAATGTAAATAATGCAACATGCTTGGCACCTTCAAGATGGCTTGGGACTGCAATTCCCAGGTGCTGGAGTTCTCATTAGGTCAGGATTAGGTTGACTCTAGAACCAGGCACAATTCTTTCCCAGCCACAACAACGTATTATCTAGCCAATCTTTTGCAAACCTGTTCCATAATGTTCTCTCTTTAAGCACCTGTGACCTAGTGCAGTTCCTTTAACTGTGGCATTTTTGCTTCAGACCTTTTCAGGAGTTTGGCTTGTGTGGCAATTCCAACACCATGACTGTGCATGCCAGCCAGCCAAGCATAGCATGACTTTAGACACTGGTTTTTCGCTTCCCTGTTACCCATCCTCCTGCATCTTCCAAGTATGAAACCTCCAAAAGATCTTTTGGTGGTTTGCAAATATATCATCAAATAATTAACCAAACACAATTTGCTTATAAATATAATAATATTATAAATATAATGCTACAAGGTATCTGGAAGTTGACTTCCCTTTGGGGTATCAACCTTCTTCCTCGGATCTCTTGAGTCAATTCACATTCAACTCCACTGCCTATGGAGCTCCCTGCATGAACCTCCTTGCCACAACGCCACAAGACTGATCGTGCACCCACCTGGAAATACACGCAGGGGTGCAACTCAGTTTTCTGTTTAGTTAGTGGCAAGCTCCCTCTGCCCCAACTGAAACAATTTTAGAAAGTGGTCAAAAGTTGCATATTTGTTCCTCCCTCTAGTAAATGGAATCAATTAAAACCATTAATCAATTAAAATGCCTTGCTGAAGGATTAAGCACTCTACGGTTCATTACTTCAGGAACAAATTGCCTAAAATTATTGGGGGGAAAAAGAAAAACAATGCTGATTTTTCTCCACCTATAAGTATTTAAAAATTCTTTGTGGGAGTTCAATAGTGTATAAATATTATATTTTGTATATAAATCATAAGATTAAGATTAAGCAGTGATAAGTGCTGTGAAATCATATATCACCATACATCTTTAATTATCTGCATCATTATTTCATTATCAGGTAATCATTACCCATAGACTTGTCATAAAAGAGGCCTCCTCCCCCAGTTACAGTTTACAATGTGAGACAAATGTCAAAATGTGGGTTAATTTGTTGGCGGTCCTTCCAGAGAAAAATGTCTTGCAAAGCTCAGCACAACTCATTTTACAGCTTTCAGATTTGGCCATCTCTGGCTTGGATGTTGCTGGGGAGCAGGAACAGAGGAAGGAAGGAAGGAAGGAAGGAAGGAAGGAAGGAAGGAAGGAAGGAAGGTTATGAGACAACTCAGCCGGACAAAGCTCAAGGGTTCAATGGAAGTGCAAGAGCACACACACATATGCACACGGACACACCAGAGAAGATCCTGCAGTCCACCAATCTGCAAAGAAAAGGGTTGCACGTTGTGTAGGTGGGCAAGGCTCCACCTGCAAACCAGCATTGGCTTCTCCTGCTGTTCAGAAAACATCCACAGGCTGCGTCCTTACCTGATTTGACTAGCACTGCTCTGTACAACCCAGTCGCCCCAGGTGGGATCCTCACCTGGTCTCCCATCCTCTGGGTCATCACGCTCGCGGGCTGGTCTCTGCGGCTGCCTAACTCTGCTCCCGCCGCGCTAAGCCTCCCGCTGCCCCCTTCCCTTTTCGGTGTGTTTCTAAGTGTGCATGACTTTGGGGCAGTGCGCAGCGAAGCCCTCTCACTTCTGCCAAGAGCTGCTCAGAGGCAACGAGAATGAGCAGTCACGTGAGGGCGTGAGTGGTTGTACTGTAGAGCCGCGGCCGCCCTCCCCTCCCCTCCCCTCCCCTCCCGGCGAGCCCGCTCCGCTCCCACAAAACCTTTTCCTCGGGGCCTGTAACGTGGCATGGCTTACTGTGAAAAAGCTGCAGCCCACACTTTGGGGAAGGGGGCCCTTCAGCCGCCTTTGTGCTAGCCTTGCTCGCTCATGCTGGGAACTTCGTGATCGAGACATTATGTGCAACTTCAGCTTCTGTATTAAGAACGTTGCTTTGTGTTTCAGGGAGGTCTATCTCTCTCTCCCCCCCCCCCCCCCCCATGTTAGCAATTAGGGAGCACAGCGAAGAGAAAGAGACTTATAGAAACCAGCTTCCGATGAGCTGAGGAGTTGGTGAGACGGGAATTTAGACAGGCGGGCAGGAACATTTGCAGCGCGACTCCTACGCGGCGAACAGCAGGCGCCAAATCAAAACAGGCGTCATCACCAGCGCTCAGGTTGCGGCGCCGTTTAGCATTACTTGCAAGCGTACTTAGAAAAGCCGAAGACCTTACATCAGAAAGCTCTAATCCTTTGAGTCCCACCACTCTATGATTTTCTCACTAATTACTTATTGGATAAACTGCGGTTGGCTGGGTTCACATATCACAGGCAGGATTCAGTCAACATGATAAGCCAAAGGTGTGAATGCAGTCACAGAGATTTTGTCGTCCCAGGCTCACTGATATGACTCATAGGCCTATTGGATGGTGTTAACCTCCACAAACAGCCACAGGGTATGACTAGGAAATACAGTGAAACCTAGACTGAATGGATCTCAGTGCAATAGGTTTTAGAAGCAGAGGATGAGATTCCGGGGCGTTTATGCCATTTGTGTAATGATGCTATTTGGGTTAATATGTATCATTTGCATATGCAATTGGGCCATTGCAATGGGAAATGTGCATTCTGATTCAACAGACAATCAGGGTTAATGGATCCTTCCTTGTCCAATTAGTCCATTAAATCAAGTTTTCATTGTACAGGAAGAAACACTTCTTCAGAGACTCCGGTTTCCAAGCCATCAAGGGCTTTTTATATCAGGGTCAGTCCCTTGAGTGGGGACTGGAAATGAAGTGGGAGCCAGTGAAGTCTATATAAGATGGGAGTAAAATAACATCCCATTTCAGTCGATACCCTTGTTGCAGTAAATACTTCATTTACTAACTGAAGTTTCTGAACCATTTTCAAGGGCAGAGTCATGTACAATCTAAGACAGGCCTAAGAAGACATGGATTTCTGTAAGACATCTGTGTGCATCAGTTTTAGATGGTAAAAGCTGCTCTATGCCACAAAGGATCCTCGTGCTTGTAAAGACAGAGATCTAGAAGCACCCCCAAACTATAGGGCCTCTCCCCACTTGTACCTGAACATGACACAACATGTCTGGGCAACAACTGTTTTTTTTGCTGTATCCCCATGATGTTGCCTTTATCTCATCCCCCGTCTATGAGTGAGTAACCTTAAGTCATGCCACTTTTAAGTAACACTGGTAAAGTAGGGTTTTTCCCCTTAAGCCAAGAGCATCCAGGAGCAGTTGCAAAGTATGTAAAATCGCCACCTATTCCTGAAGAAGTCAGGTGATCTCTCTCACTTCTTAGTGCTTTGTCTTTATTTGTCAAGTGAAAGGGTACAGAAGCTTACAGTCATCAGACCCCTTCATATTCCTGAACGACTGTTGTGGCTGGTGGACCCCAGTCACCCGGTGATATCTGGGGAGAGTGAAATGAAGCAAGTTCAGAAGCATTCACCTGTTGCCTTGCTTAGCATGCCTGCAGGTGCATAATCAGGATGCCCTCATTTCCCAGTGAGTCAAAACAGATACAATAAAATTGGGATAAAGATTGGGAGCATCACATTTCATGCCAGTATAGTTTTCTGCCAGCCCAAAGATGGGTGAAGAGTACTTCAACTCAGCAGGGGGTTGAAGGCCCCCAAACATTATATTTCAGGAGGATTGCAATTCCTTACAGAACTGGTTGAATCTGGACCATTCATGAGCAGCCTCTCTGTTTTCTCCATAATACTGCATCCCGGTATTGATTCAGAACTTCTACTAGCTCATCTGGATGTGATGAAAATGAGACACAGAGCTGGGTCATCAGCACACCAATGTCATTGCATTCTAAAGCTCTGGATGATTTTATACAGCAGCTTCATGTAGTTATTAAGTAACAGGGAGAAAATTGGTCTTTGTAGAACCCTATTGTGTACATGTCTTGAGGTTGAACAGAATTCCTCAGGGCCACCTTCTGGAGGCAGCCGCCCAGATATAAGAGGAATCACTACGAATCTGTGATAGCTCAGATAACCTATCCAAAAGGCTATTGTGATTGGTGTTAATGAAAGCCATAAGGGTCTCACAGGAATCTATAGGACTGTACTCCTCCTGTCTCTTTCCCATTGAATATCATCTCATGGGATGGCAAAGGCTATTTCAGTACCAACATCCATCCTAAACCCTGACTGAAATAGCTGTAGAAAATCCATTTCATCCAAGAGTATCTGGTTCTAATTAGCCATCACTTCTTTGGCATTTTGCCCAGGAAGGAAATGTTGAGCAGAAGCTTATACATATTCAGATCTTCTCTGCTCCATTATGTTATTTTCCAGACTGGCCACATTATGATTGCCTTTAATGAAAAGGAGATCATTTTCAGGAGCAATTTATAAGCTCCTGTATCCAGATTGAGCAAACAGGTAGTTGGCTGAATTCTACCAAGCATAATCTGAGTCCTTAAAAGCCAAAAGTTAACCACAACAAATCTAGCTAGCAGTACCAACACTATAGAATCTGAGTCATGATTAATATGATCAATTTTATCCTGAAAGTGATATGTTTAGTCAAATATATCACAGCAAGCTCCAAGGGTTCTCAATCAGTGTTTCTCAATCTTGGCAATTCTAAGATGTGTGGACTTCAATGCCCAGAATTATGGGAGTTGGTCCACACATCTTAGAGTTGACTGGGTTGAGAAACACTGTTCTAAATGGTCATGCTGGACCACCTCAAAAGGCTTTGTTGAGTGAAACTCACTGGAGGAGAAAAATATTGGCTTCACCCCCATCACTAACACATAGTAGTCTCAGTAATGTGTTCCCTAGTGGTTGATTAACATGGACACACCTGAGTTCTAGATATCTCCCACCTTGGGATTCAATCTTTCTCTGTGGATCCCTAGCACCATTTATTGATAATCTGGAGTCTGTCAAAGCTAGAGAATATAAGGATACTAAGTATTAATACACGCTGTGAAATGGCAAACACAGACATAGGGCTGAAGAGAAATTCTCTCCCAAAATGGGGGAAAACACAGTTTTACTAAATATACCCCAGATTGTTGGTAGATGGGGAATAATATCAGAAATGTATTTTGAGAAATCTTATTTTGTGGCTACAAAAACTTTTATACATACCTTGAGACTGCTCTTGAACAATGTTAGAATAAAGGGGAAATACAGAATGTTAACCCTCCTAAGGACAAGCTGTCTCCAAACTTAACATGTGTCATGGACTGAGGATAAAATGAAGGTAACATCTGGGGGGAAAAGGTAAAATAAATGTTGCAAGGGTATAATTGTGCCATGGTTAGGGGCAAGGGGAGACAGGGCCATAATTAATAACATAGGGAACTGTCTTCTTTTTCAGTCAGTTCAGGAAGTCAATCAGTATAGAAATTAATCTGGGAGAAGGGAAGGCATTTAGTTGGACTGGGGCCAAGTGGGCATATTCAGAGGTGATCTGGATATAATTAGTTTGCTATTAAGAGATTGGCTTTCTAAACATGTAGAGATGTTCATGGTATTGGCTAATTTAGAACAAGCACACTTGTGGCCTCTGCTTTTCTTTCCCAATGGGTGGGGTGGCTACAAACAGTTGTTGGTAGTTAGTTTAGCATTTAATGTACCATAAAGAGTGCCTGCCCTCAAGGACAGCATTCCCCCAGAGATCTGTACAGTTCCCACCTTGATGATGTCCAGAAAGTCACTGAAATCTTGGCTGTTCCCCCAGCCATGGGGCAGAGGGATGGTTGGATCCCTCTAGGAGGTTTTGTTGTTATAAAGAGTTTGCCTTCTGGATGCTTATGATCTGTTTCTTTTTAAAATGTAAATTTAAAATATAACATTTAAAAAGTTTCTTACTTTTTAAATGTAAGCCATCCAGAGTCACCTGGAGATGGGTAGCCTCTAAATTGCATCAAACAAAGAAATAAACAAATAGAACATCAGAATGCAGAACACATGCTATTTTCTGGCTTAAGTACCCATAAACAAACCTACCATAAATCATGGCTACATTCTCTAGTTAGCTGGGGCCAGAAGCACTGTGTCTCTTGCATTCAGATAACATGCTAGACTCCTTAAACTCGGCAGACCAAATGGGTAGGAACAAGCACATTCTATCATCATCATCATCATCATCATCATCATCATCATCATCATCATCATCGCCCTTCCTCCCTGAGAAGCCCTGAGTGTGTGATAAAACAAAACAATAGAAATGCAGTGTTTAGTTGTACAGAAGTTTAAAAGAACAGTTATTTAAGAAGCAGTCTGCTCCTGGACTGTTGGTGATCGTCAATCTCTGGATGAATAAACACATCTAATGTCACTTGGGACTAAATGGTGTGAGCTCCAGCTGTGTTTCCCTGCAGGGAGAATTCCACAATCAGGCACCCCACCTGAGAAGGTCCTAGTCATAGTCACCATACTCTGAATCAGACCCAGCTGTGGGACCAAGAGCAGAGCTGATCTTATCATATACCAGGCTTAGTAAAATGTCTAAATTAGTAGTGTTTTCACCACAAAAATGGAATCCTCAATTAAGGGTTCTGCAGCTAATTAAGGTTGGTTAAAGCTCAGGGGGAAGGGGAAGAGAATACGATTCTTCAACAGTTTGGGAGACATCTGGGGAAAAATATTTATTTATATCTCATATTTC